TCCCAAATTAACCATGCTGAGATTACATCAGATCAAAGCAGCCTCTTGTCATGTAGAAACAACTTGCAAGCCTCCTTTCAAAATTTCATGCACAAATTATTCCCATTTGCAATTTTGTAGATTTTATGATGAAAACTGAATGTTATTTTGGTTAAACTGTCCTCATTTCAGAGGAAAAGCTGTCCATTTTTTGCTTTTTCCAAATAACAAGGTAAATTGCACCAATCCCAAAGATCTAAAAATAAAACACGCTTTAATCAAACGAAATTATCTACAGATGTGTTTATCTATAGCAGCTTCAAAATGAACTTGAATTTTTTTTCATGCCAGGTTTCAGCTCACAAGGAATTCCTAGTACAAAAAAAAAAGAAATCAGCCCACTCTCCCATTTTATAATTTTCTAGTATCCCTGACACACGTGAAAGATGGGAGATGTGAAAATTATGTCAGAAAATACCTGTTTTTTCCCACATTTTGAAATTCTGAGTTCCTAAATGTCATGGAAATGTAACTAGCCCAACCACCACACCTACCTGGCAACTGCTCGGCATGAACGACATGCCCAGTCTAGATTAAATGGCCCTCAGTGCTTTGTAATCCAAAGGACTCTACAGACAAAACTTCATGGAAAGGATTTAGTGGTGTATTTCTAAAATCCCAGGGGATGCCAAAGTTCTTGTTGTCTGTATGTGATACAAACTCGGCACCAGCCATTCATTGCTCTCACAGCTTACAAGAATCCAATGTCCATGGCACGTCCACCAGCACATAGTACCACACTGACATCATATCCTGTATATTTAAGCCACGCATTAAGTTCTTTAGAGCTGAAGCTATCTTTTTCTGTCCTGTGTTTGTACCATACCCAGCAAAATGGAGACCAGCTTTGTGACTGATGCTCCCAGGCACTACCTTAGCGCAAGTAATAATTAACAAGAGATGTGAAAGAAATTTAAATGACATGTGAAGCAAAGCCTCCTGACATGGGCAGTTCTATCGGTTTACACTATCCAGGTCACTCTGCCAAGTGACCAGATTCAAACCGTACAGACTTTTCCACATAATTACTGGTGTGTTCGTCAATTCTATTGAGAACAGCAATTACTACCCAAATGTTTGATGCACAGGAGTCCGAGCCAGCAAATGAAAGCATGGGATTCTAATGCTAAGCACTCCCCGGCAAGGTACGTCAACATGGCTATTGCCACTGCATCGTCACTGCTCAAGCTAGACTAAAGCCAGCTCAGAGATGCCCATTTATGCTACAACCACACCTCCCGATTGCCGCACAGACACAGCCTTCCTAGAATGACTACCACAGTTTCCCTTAAGATGCAGCTCCTGAGACACATACAATATGACAGCTCTCTAGTGGTGCAGATTGTTCTTTAACTTTCATGTTTCCAAAACGCTCCAGGGCTGTTTACTCATTGATTCTTTCCTACAGAGCTATTGGCCTGCAAGGCATATGAGAGAATAGACTGTAAAGAAGATACTGGTCAGTGGATATTTTAATCCATGTAGGTCTCCCATAGATTAATATATGGGATAAAAGGTACATATGAGAGATGCCTCAAAAAACCAATGGTCCCTTCAGTTTACCTAACCTGGCAAAAGAAGGAAAATAAAATAACACATGGGGGAGGGGGTGCCATTCCTTTTGATATGTTATGTTCTATGTGGTTTTTGATGTGTTCTTTGAGTTTCTAATACTGTCTTGCAACTAGGAGTCAACAATTTTCATTACCCTCTAGGTGAGGAGAGCAAAAGCTGTGCTTGCAATGGTGAGAGAGTGATAGGAATGTTTCACTAGGCAGGTGGAGGAGAACTTTATGTCTGACCATTTTGTTCTGAGCTAGAGGCAGGGCTGGCTGCAGGAGTTATTGCGAGGCAAAGAACTGACTCTTTTACAAATGACAGATCTAAAAAAGCATCTAGCTGCCTGCCACTGATCACATGGCATCCTGGAACCAGAAGCTGTGGATAACTTCTGATCCCATCTATCCCATTTGTGAGCTGTATTGTGTGTGTAGGAGGCACTTGCACTTGATGTTGCAAAGATCAAGGGAGGGTTGGTTATTGTCTGGAAGTGGAAGAGATGAACTGCTAAGAAATAATTCACCTGAATGCATGTTACTGTCAGGCTAACTGATAACTGGATTCCTTTCCAGAGTGACAATTTATACAGAAACCTGACTCTATAATAATCATTCTCTGTCTCATATCTGTCACTGGGGCCTCAGACTGGAATAAAATAACTTTCTAGTAGCTTGTTCCTTCATTAAGCCCAAACAAAATCCCTAGATCTGGATGTCCCCCTGGACTGTGGGTCCTGAGTGGCTGGTAATCTTAGATTGGCATGAGAACACAACCACGAGCACCTAAGGAAATTCAGCTTCTGGTCGCAGTGTCAGGGCAGGGGCCTATCCTGTGATTGAAGGATCATGCAGGGTGGCGTGTTAGTTTGGCACTCAGGAAGCCTGGATTCAACCCCAAGCTTGCAACAGGCTTCCTATGTAGCCCTGGAGAAGTCACTCAGGTGGAGGCTTCCGCAAACAACTAGTGATTTTGGGTGTCTTCCATTTAGAGAGGATAGCCTGGGAATATTTAGAGGGAGGGTGCTGAACCCTTTCTGAGAAGCAGGGGTCTTTGCATTGTCTCATGTGGGGCACCCTGTGAAAATGAGGCTCATAAAATCACTCGTGACTTCTACGGTTAATCTCTCTGTGCCTCGGTTCCTTATCTGAAAAACAGGCAATATCCTGGTACTCCTGTGGACATAAATACATGAGAGTGGAAGGCATGCAGATAGAAACAAAACAAAATCATATATAAATACAATACAATAAAAAATAACCTGCCTGAACCATCATCTGAACCTGGAGGCAGAAAGTCAAACCCCAGGCTTATCCTACATTAACATAAATTCATATTTTTAACAAGACATTCCATGATGTATTTCACCTGAGACTAGAAGCAGAAACAACTGAAGACGAGAAATATTCTCCTTGTGGTAGTACAAGAGAAAAGCTAATTTTACAGACAAGTTTTAAGTTAAAAAAAGATATGGGAAAGCCTCTAAACTTTCAAGCCTCCACGAGCTTGACCTTCTACTAGTCATTGCTCACCTCTTACAGTTACAGACCAATGACCAGTGTCCTGATCCTGTTCCAACTAGAAAGCCCTTCTTTGGGTATGGATAGAATTATTCCAGAGATCTTTCAGAGTTTCACTGATTTTAAGTGAACATCTAGTCTGAATTACAATTAAATTAATTTAAAATTAAATTGCTGGAAAGTTGCTTCACCAGAAGTCAAATTCTCAAGCCAGCTTTCCTAATGTGACCATGCAAATTTATTTCCCGAATTTGTGCGTGTGAATGGGTGAGGGGTCTGCAAGCCCCCTGCCACTGAACCGATGCATAGGCTGCTTTGAAAACCAGCACAAATTCCCCTTGTATTAAAAACACCATACAATATCACCTCTTCAAATTCTTCCGCTTCCTGTGCCTCTGCTTCAGGAGGTCCCTGTTTAGTTACCACCTTAGGCTCAAGTTTAGCCAGAGCTTTGGTTTCAGTCTTTCGCTCAGCCTTGGCCTCAGTTACAGGTTCTGTTTTTGTGGCAACCTTGTGCTCAGGTGGATGGTGCTGCTTCGGCTCTTTATGCTTGGGCTCTGGCTTGTGCTGCTCTGGTTTCGGTTCTGCTTTGGGCACAGGTTTCTCTTCATGTGCTGGCTCCTGCTGCATGATGGGTGTCCCCCCTTGCCTCTGGGGTTCTGCTTTGTGTTCAACAGCCCTCCTTTCAGCTCTTGGTTCTGGAGAGCCTGATTTGGTAGGTGATTTGGGCTCAGGGAATGGCTCTTCCTCATAGTCCAGGGGTGGAGTGACCGGGGAGGTCCTCACGGCATAGCTGTGATAGCCTTGGTATAATTCAACATCAGGTTCTTTTGTTATCCTCTGGAGGGGTTTGATCTCCATCTGGTCTGTCGAAGTCCTCACGTTGCTGTGCCGGCTGGGGCTCCGAGATGCAGGTCTGCCATTGGTTGCTGATTTCTCCCCGTGTGCCAAGAGTGCATTGGATGGTGTATTGGGCCTACTTCCCCCATGACTGGCATTCCAGCTGCCAGGGCTGAGAAAGCCATCCTTCTGGGAACTTTGCTTAGCCTGCTTTGCTGCTGGGGATGTACCAGCCGGACCCGGCGATGGTGTCTGGACAGGACTCTCCTTGTGGTGGGCAGTGTCTTTCTCATGCAGCTGAGGGCTCTCACGGGGGGTTGAAGGAGGTGGAGGTCCTTCTTTGCGTGGTACTTCCTCTTCCATGTTTACAATGTTCTCAGCATTTTCCATAATTTCCTGGAGCAGCTTCCTCTTCTGGTACTCAGGGCCTGCAGGGAGAAGGAAAGCAACATTCAGCACTATGTAGGAGCAGCTGGTTGTTTTCTACCCATTTCCTGGTTCTCATGAGCTAATGGCCATGAATGAATAGATACTCCATAGCCTCTTCCACTAGTTCTCAGCAGCAAAAGAAGCTTTGTTTTCAGATGTGTCATCACCTGGTAGCTGTCTGTGTTTGCAAATAAATGCCCCTATATTTTTGAGCTTGAACTTAAGGACAAGTGCAAATATAAAACACCAAACTACCTCATTTGTGGATGCAGACCAGAGGCAAGTTTGTAGTTATTAATATGCAGCACAGACCCATTTTTTACCAACAGGAACAACAACAATAAATACCCTCCACAAAAAAACATAAAAAGGATCTTTTTGGAAAGACGGGCTCTGGGTGTTTGCTGAATCACATACACTGCAGACAGGAAAGAGCCTGTAGTGTACTTGGACGGACCAGGATTGCTCTCAACAGTTAGAAGTAGCACCTACTCACAGACTGCAGGCCAAGACTGTCACTTTGCCAAAGTCCTACCCTAGGATAAATTACCTCACATTGGGTGTGCTGGCTGATTCCCACAGCTCAAGGGAGAACTCTCTGTGCTATTTGTCATGCAGTCTATATCTATCTCTGAGTTCAAGTAACTTAGCTCATGAACTGATGCCCATTTGGGGCAGGGGGACTGGCTAATGGAAGAGGAGACAGTTCAGATCAATAGCTGGGGAGTGACCCTGCAGGCTGGTTGTAACCTGCTCCCCCTTCCCCCCTGTATTTTGAAGGACAGTTCTGATTTTATGGTTTTTCCCTGTGTTTCACAAGGTCTGCAGATGCTATGGGGAATTTAACAGTTTCCCATTTCAGACTGGCATTCACCTTGGCATCAGCAGTCCATTTCAAACTAACTAGTTAACAGAAAGAGGAAAATGTTTCTGACTCTGACTATCTTATTTTATTTCCTCCATGTTCCCCCTAGACCAACATGTCTTTTTCATTTTCTGTGCTTAGATTAACAGCCCTGCTGCATTACCTCAAATGACTGACTTAACCAGCTGGGGCTTTTGCTGACGATGGCACCCCAGTCCAGACGAAAGGGTAGCCTGAAGAACCCAAGAGAAAATCCTCCTCTTAATAAACTTTCCATATGTTTACTTCTCCATGCTTGAAGAAAGCACTGTACAAGCATCTTGCATCATTGGAGATTTTCTACAGTTTATCTAAACACCTTAAATCAGAGTATGGTTTTGGAAGGGACTGGCCATGCAGTGGACACGCAGTCTGATCTCCACCTCTGATGCTGCCTGTTAAACAGAAAGCAATGGGGAAACTGAGGCAAGGTATACTAGGTGTTTTGATTTTCATGCATTTGTGCAGGAAAAGAAAATTGTGCCACTCAGGATTGCAGGGACAGCACCTGTGAAATGTCCAGCTAAGTGACCTGTGGCGCAGAGATCCAGCCCGGAACAGCAGCGAGACGACTCGATGCAATGACACAAGGTGACTCCAGGATTTAAGTTTCACTCTGTCCTTGTCTGACTTGCTGACTTGTCATCATCTCTTGGTAACATTACCATGGGCTAAATTATTGTTTGTCTGTCAGTAAATCCTTACTTCTCATTACTCCTGGGCAAAGAGTGCCCTAACCAAGCTGACCTGCTTATGTCTTAAAGTGTGCTAGTGGGCCTCTGCTAGATGCCAAAGGCAGAATGCAAAATTGAGGGTACAGAGGTACCTTATCCCTTGTCCCGCAAGAGTGGGATGGGGAATTCCTGCCCCACACAGTCCTGGCTGTTCTTATTATTTATATAACAGTGGTGCCTAAGCTGCCCCTGTGGCCATGTCCAGACGAGCGTGGATGTGTGGTATGTGATGTCGCAGACCAGCTTGTGGCACCATACACCACACATGCAGGCTTTCCCTGCACTGCTACTTTTCAGCGTGGGGGCATTTCTTGACCCCTGGATCGCTAGGGTAAAAAACCCCCCAAAAAGTGGGGCAGTGCATGTGGCAACAATGTGTGCCATCCAAAACAGAGCCTGGCCAGCCGGAGCTGTGCTCCAGCTGCCGGCCAGGATCCCTGCTACAGGAGCGCCACAGTTGCAGCTCCCCGAGGCCCCCAGGACCCCAAGTGAGGCTGCTGGGGCCACCGCAGTTGCTGTGCTGTGACACAAGGGGTGCCGCTGCTACTTGTCCTTGGGGAAACGCACATTACTGCTCGTGGGGACGCAGCCTGTGGTGTTAGGTACTGTACATATATTTGACAAGGGAGAATCCCCATCTTGAAGACCTTACAGTCTAAACAGGAAAGAAAGGTTGGGAGGGCAAACAGGCAGAGATCAGGAAGACGATCAGCCCAGAGTCATACGGCAGTTTAGCAACAGAGCAGTAGAACCCAGGTGTCCTGATACCAAGTATCGGGCTCTATCCAGTAGTCCCTGTCACTCCTCCAGGGAGTCTAGCACAGTTCACTTCCGCACCATATGGTTACAAAGCTTGTCACACAAATGCTTAGGAGAACGGTAGAGAGAAGAGGGTGTCTGCGGCAGACAGTAAGATAGCCAAAAATCCTGTTCACGCTACAGCAAGCAAACCAAATGTACATCAGAACTTGGAACTTATATAAAGCATGTGTGTGACTATTCACTGAACTAAAGGGGGGGATCCACTGAGTTCACACTCCTTTTAGGTTCACTGTCTGCCAGTTCTTCAGCAAACACATTTCCTGGCAGTAACAGTGAATCTTATGGGACCATTTTACAACATCATTCCTGTAGATCAAATTTTGAATTTGGGATCACAGATATTTAGAAAAGAAGCCTGATTCTGAAAGCTACGCTTGGTGGATCAGAGAACAGAAATGTACAGATGCTGTATGGGTCTAGTGAGGACAGTCTGCATTTTGAACACAGTGGCTGCTGACAGATGTGAAAAAAAACGAATAAACAAAAACACGTTTTCTCAAAATAGGAAGCACATTAGTTGGGCCCAGCTCCCCAGCATCTGTATAGATCATGTGCTTCAGCGAGGCTTTTTGGCGCTTTTATGTTTTTATCTAACCAGCTATTAGATAAAAATGCCAAAAAGCCGCGCTGAAGCACAAGATCTATACACACACTGGGTGAGCTGACAAACTAACACAACGCCTCTTCTGGGCATGTGCTGTGCTTGGTGTGGGGATCAAGTTCAAAGTAAAGCACTTGTTGGGGGGGGAGGGGGCAGGGGGGGTATTGTTCACATCTGTAAGCAACCTGAATGTAGTTTGCTGCTTGTGGCTGACTAGCAGGGCAAAAACTTCTGGCAAGATGCACTTGGCAAATTGTTTTGAACTGTTTGTGTAAAGTGCCCACCATCTTGGGGTCATGCTCTGGGACTGGGGCTCCAGGTGCTCCACAAAACATCAGTAAGATGGACACTTTGGGAGCTGAAAAAGGAGTGTGCAACCAAGTGCTTTATTCACTGGGAATAATGATGTTTGCCTCTGTCATACCATCCACAGCTGGCTTTGATTACAGTATCACACGGCTAGCTCTAAAATACCTTTGGAGAAGTAGAAATATGTCATGATGTATATGCTCCAAGGGGTGAGGGGCTTCCAGTTTTCTCATGGTGGGCTGTCTGGCACTTCTTGTCTCCCCAAGTATTGACTAGGGTTCGGAGCTTGGAGACTGGAGTTTGCTGATTTATTCCCTCCAATAAATCAATGGTGTGATTTGTCTCCTCCTAACTCTGGGCCACACAGGCCAACTCCTACTAAAGGTGGTGGTGGGGGAGAAGTAGAGAATTTATTTTAGTTGCCTTGCCCTTCCTGCACGCTCCTGTCAATCAGACGGAGCCCCGTCAGGGCCATTTATTTCTGGCTGCCACTAGATTATTTGGAGACGATTTCACCAGTTGTTCAGTCTCCTCAAAATAGTGCTCAGCTGGCCCCCCACCCGCCTTGAGTTCCTCGCCTCTCAGCTGGTGCCGTCTTCTCCCTCTGAATAATTTACACAGGCAAAATCAATGTCCTTTGAGGATATTGCCTCATTCCATCACCTCCACCTTCTCTCTCTCTTTCTCTCTGAACAGCACACTACTAGCTCTGTGCAATCACTGCCTGGTGAAAAAGCACTGCCAACAGTGACTGATTAAAATGTCCCATGCTGAGAACCCATGGAGCTTGCTACTATGAAATTGAAACCATGCAAGAGAGAATTCATATTTGTTTTCCTTTGTGTACATTTCAGGCTCTTTATTTTATCCACTTGAACCTGAAGCTGCAGACAAATTGGAGTTTGCATTGTTTAAAAACTGACAAAATAAGGCTTGATAAGAGAGGGGAAACATTTTGAAATCAGAAAGATGGACACAAATTGGGAGAGATTAGCCTCTGTATGGCACTAGATAAGAATTTGATTTTGGCTGGGCCAGGTTCCTGGTTACGCTGCACTTCCACTCCTTTCCAGCCCTCTTCTATTACCAGAGCAGTGCGATGGAAGCCCAGTGTGCACAAAAATGCGCGCTGGTGTGTGTTGGTTAATAGAAATGTTCTCCTGGTAGGTGTGCATCATTTTTATTTTTCTGTTCCCCATTCTCTCAATCCAAAAAAATTAAATTGTATTGAAAATGAGTAAGAAAAGAAATGTGAATGCTAGAAAATGCAAGAATCTTATGCGAACCTAAATACACAGAGCTTTTTAAAAGATTCAGGTACCTGAGGCTTGGAGCAAGAAGAGACTTGCTGTTTCAGCCACTGAGGCCATTTTATAAGATGGTGCAAATTGTGCTATAGAATCATCACAGACCCAAAGAAGATCTATATCTTAGGAAGAAAAAAAAACCACACTGGGAATTCAAATTTCCTTTTACTTGTAGGCTATAAATACTCCAGTATGGTTGGGTGAATTGTGGGGCCATGAATAACAGCTGATAGGTCTCATGCTGGGATCAAATGATGTTTAGCTATTGTTAACTGAAGTGTCATACCTTGGCTCATAGACACGCCAAGGTGTATGGTGATTCCCAACCTAAAGCCAGCAACAACAGAACTTATCCTGCTTTGTAAGGGGCAGGAATGGGAAACCTTCCACCAACGGCAGTCTTGCAGGCTATTACAGCCAAAGACAAGAACAGACTGCAGGGAATCTGGGCAAAACCTCTGAGGCTTCTTCTTCATTCTGAAGAATGTCTCTACATTGTAGCAATAAGCAATTTTCCTTTCCTATTATGTGTCCTGTTCTTATATTTTGATAAAAGAGATCACTCTAGTCCTCAAGGTCCTGAAGTGGCAAGAGAGGTAGGGAAATACAGTTCAGTGATTAATAAATATGACTGGGAGTCACAGCTGGTGAGTTCTGTTCTGCCTTTGGCTTACTGTAGTACCTGAGGCAAATTACTAAGCGTCTTCATACAGTCAGGCACAGAGGAGAGGGACTTGCTAGGGATAACAAAGCTAGTTAACAACAGCTTTGGAAAAATATACAGGAGCTTGAACAGTTATCTGCTCTGGGAGTCACCCAAAGTGCAGGTCTGTGGGCATGCCTACACACCGCCCTACGGTGACGTAGTGACATGCTACATTGCAGTACGGCGTGCTACGGCGATGTAGCGATCACATGGGTCTACACATGATCAGCAACTATGTTGCTGTAGCAGCACGCTCCCCTGTTGTAGTACACCACTACAGCGAGGTAGCGGCAAAATCTAACCATGTGCCACATGCAGGGTGCAGTAGTTACTTTTGGAAGTACTAAAACATGGCGTTGTAGCAACATTGTCATATGGCGATGTGTAGATGTGCCCTGTGAAAGCTGAATTGGAACCATCAACCTTTGTAGCACGTGCCCTTTCCTCATGAGAGTGCACCACTGCTTATAAGAAATCAAGCCTGGCACATGCACACCAACAGCTGAGGGAATCGTTGGACTCACCAAGAGGAAAAAACATAGGCTTTTAGTTCCATTCAAGTTAATTATGAATTTGTTTCTTTTCCTCTCTGTCCTTTCAAGCATCTGTTGACCCAAAGAGCAAAAGACATCGGGGGAAGGGTCTCTAGGTGAGTATCTCTGAGCAAATTGGCCCACTCAGGTTATGCTCATGCTCTGTGCTTGACCAGAGAAATTGCACAGCACTTGCTCAAGCCTCTCTCACCCTCTGCTCCTCTTTGAGCCTGCCTCCCCCCTGCCCCAGAGGGACACAGCAGGGGCAGAGAGAAGTAGAAGATGCTCCTATACTTACCTGGCTGGTAGAAGTCTGGTGAGAGCTCCCTGGCCATCATCCTTGCTAGGCTTGATTCATTGTTAGCAGCCTGAGCTGCCTGTTCAGCTCCTTCTGCCTTGGCTTTTGCATGGGCAGTCCTGGGGAGAGAACATCATTGTGACATTAAACGCCTTCCAAGTTACAGTCAGCACTGCCCAAGCACATGGCACCAGCTCTGCAGTAAACATGGAAGAATTAACAGTCTGGCACTACAGAACCACAGCATTTCCAAATGATCCCTGGGACACATGGGATGCAGAAGCAGTGAAAAGTTTAGCTTAACCTCCTGCCAATCAGTAATCTTACTAGGAAGCTTTCTGCCACCCCCACCACTGTAGGCAACATTACAGTTAAAAACAGACATGAATTACTAGTGACAGGTGGCAAACTACCATCAGGCTAAACTATCCCCATCAGTTAACCCAAAACCCCCACCCACGGGAAATGAAAACCCCGACCCCACAGAAAAGTCAAACAAAAAAACCCAGACTTCAACAAGTTATGTGCATACGTGTATATGTGGAATGTCTGCAAGTGTACATCTAACTGTGCCAAAAACCAAGGATACTGGGCTTTGAAATTTGCTGAGATTACCTACTAGTTATGCTAACAAACAAGACCTGTGGGGACTGTAACACCTCCAACTGCATGGCTGGACTCTTGAATACAGCCTGCAAAGGTATCTCTTGTACCGCATACTTTGAGAGATGAAGGACAGGCTCCAATGTGCCAGAAGGAGCATTTTCTAGAGTTCAGGATCTGACTCCACAAAGCTCCATTGAAACAGCCTCCAAGCACCCAAACTTGGGAGGGTCTGGTAGAGGGGCCCCAATGAATAACCGCTGTGGTGGGACAGGGATGAATAGTGGCCCCTGAGACGTGGCAGCTGTAAACTCTCCTGGACTGAACTCCACTTCTACAGTAGGGGCAGGAGATAACAGTTTTTATGTAGGCTCCTTCCCACATCTTTCACCTGACTTTGAAGCAGGGACCATGTCCTCCAATGTGTCTGGCCCAAATTGAACATGTATTGAATGTACATGGCGGTAAGATTATGTCCTAAAGGTCAACAGGAGCCTCAGAGTTACAGTGTCTGGTACACAACCAGCCTCATCTTTCCTGCTCAGCTTGGGAACAGATTGCAGATCCCAGCATGAAACAGGAGGGAAAATTTCCCAAGTTCTCTCCTGACCTCTCAAGATACTCAAGAGACTTTAATGTCTCTCAAGTAATTACCAAAGAAACAAAAGTCTGATTTTGCAGAACTGGCTCCCTTATTACTCTCAAACTCCAGTGCTGCATTTGTAATAGGAAAATTACTGGGATGAGGGGAACAGATGTATCCTCTTTCATAACATGGATTCTTTACTCATCTCAACTCCTTTACAGAGCATCTCCTACTTGCCCCGTAAAGCTAACTAAGTTATCTGGCTGGCTGGCTGGGTGTCATATTCCCAGGATGCCTGGCATTTTGATCCCTGTGGCTTTACACAAAAAAACCCATAAAGCTAAAAATTAGGCTTAAAAACTAAACAGCCAGGCTCAGAGACAAAGATGCCTACTGTTTAGAAGGAAGCCTACACAAAATCACATACAGACTGTACATATATCACTAATCAGATATGCAAATATCAATCCACAGTCATTAACACTACTATTAATTACAACTCTGCCTTACAGTACCCTGTGCACTGGTTAAGTGACCCCTTTTCTCCATTTCACTGAGTCTCCTTCGGGATGGAAACCAGCCACAATGGTTTGGTGAGCCACAGTGGTTCAGATATATTTTAAGCCAGGAATTGAAGAATGATGCTGCAATGAAGCTGTGAAACACAGAATATAATCACCACAGGTGAACCTGCCCAGGATTAAATGAGCTCTCAAGGTGCCTTCTACCCTATTTTTTATTATTCTACGTTTGAATTTAGTTGGAATAACCAGTTTAACTCCTCCACTCAACAAACTCCCATATGCAGGAGGGAGATGATGGCTTTTTGTCTGCAACTATTGCAAGTGCAAGGTGTATATACTGAGGATGTTCTCCCCCATCTTTTTATGGTAAAAAACAACAGGAAATTCCAGTTCTGAGTTGCAATGGCTATGTGAAAGAAGGAAAGACATAGCACATTCTTTAGGTCCAGCAGTACTGTAAAATAGCTAGGGCTGAAAGGGCACCCTAGGTTGTAAAATACAAAGATAACAACATGCAGCACACGATACTTCAGAATTCATGTAGCTGGGAACATTCCCTTTTATGCAGAACGCTGCATTCATCCTACTGCTTACGTTTATCATCTTCCTTGTTAATGCCCAAGCTGGTCTGTGTGGGATAATTTTTCAATAATTTGGGGGGGGTTTATTCCAAAATTATTGGAGCTCCTAAAACATTAAGAGGTAACTTCTGATAAGAAAGAAATATGCAGTTTTAAGCCTCGACTGTATGCAGGAGGTCACAAGCAACTTGGATTCAGAGAAACAGAGAAAGCGTCTCCTTTTTTGGTAGCATATAATCAGTGTGATTAATTCCACTATAATCTGGCGAGGACCTGATAGTATATTTATATGCTTCTCAGCCCCAAGGAATTAGCGTGGGCTCAGAGTGTTCAATGCACATGGTGGGAGCCTCGGAGCTGCCTCCATCTTGCAGGACGGCACTTGCTTTAACTCTCCAGAGCATGGCTTCAAGAACAAGCTTGATAGCCACTGGCAGTGAACTGTCATGCCTGCAGCCCAGAGGGAAAACCTGAGGAAAAGAGGCATCAGCTTTTAAGAGCAGGAACCTTTGAGTCTGTCCTACAGCATCTGGGGACAGTATCAAGAGGGTGAATTTGCACATTTCAGATTAATATATGCCACCCCCCAGTACATCGGCTAAAATGATGGGCCCGATTCTTTGTTTCTCTCAGCATAGGAATAGAAACCATTGTGACTTTTCCATTCTTGGGCCTTTCTTGCTCTGTGTCAGAGTTACTTTAGGTCTGTCCCAACTTATGTTTTGGCCCTGCTCCCTTCCTCCACCAATGCCAGGGCTGTGAGGGGGGTAGCTCAAAACCATTTCCTATACAGAATGCTTCTCAGAGGCCAACTCTGCTGGGTTTTATGCGCCTATAAGCTGAATAAAGTGCCATACAGTCAAATCCAATGGGACTAATTACTGGTAAGGCCGCACCACCCAACCCTTCTTATGGCCCATGACTAATGAACGCAAAGCACATTGTTTGTGAGAAATAACAGTGATCCTCAGAGAGTCAGGCATCAGGCAGGCATTTTCCTATCTTCAGCTCCCTCTGTGCAAAAATGAAGTTTATTTCCTACCTATGGGGACTTTTTACCATCTTGTACCAGCTACACTTTTCCCAGAGCCTGACAAAAGGACTTTGATCCTGAAAGCTTGCAGAAAAGGACAATTTTCTTGCCATTTTCCAGTTGGTCTAATAAAAGGTATCATTTTGGAACCAAGAGTTCTAGTTTTTTGTATGTATGTCTTTTCCTATTTGTGGCTTTTTCAACTCAGCTGAGCAGGAGGAAGCCTTTCAAGCTCAGCTGGATGGAAGGTTTCCCTCGTCGTTAGCAGCTTTTTGCCTTTAGCAAGTTGTGGTGTGGGGCTAATACCATAATGGAGCCTCGCTCTAAGGTGCTCAACTTCAGTGGACTTTTGGGGGACTTAGAAGGCCAAAGAAAGGAAGAAACTTGCCATTCATGGAAATACCTTTCCCACCTTCATCTTGGTTTTGCTTATTGATAAAGCCCAGAGAGGCCCTTACACATGGCTCCCATGAAGCTTGTAAGTGCCATATGCTGATTTGTGGTGGGGATGGAAAGGTGTAGTTTTCAGGGCTCTTCCCTGAGGTTTGGTTAACATGTACATCACCAGTGCATCACTGCATGGTATCAAGGAAAAATGGATCCAACAATGAAACACAATTGACATTATTCATAACTTTCTTATCATCATGGACCCCACATTTAAACCCCTGGCTTTGCTTTACCAAGGTGGACAATGTTGAACAGGGTTCATACTGAACAAGGTAGATATAACTACCTACTCCATAAATGGAATTTTATTAAAGACCCCAAGTGCGAGTGTGGCAAAATCCAAACTATAGCATACATCATGAAGAAACGTCCTATATATCATTTTAATGGTTGCATTGAAGACCTGCACTAGGCTACTGATAATGCTTTGTAATGGATATCAGATCTAAACTGTCACTCTAGCCTTGTCCCTTAGTGCCGTTGTTTATGGATTGTTCTGTCATTCAGTTGCTGTATTCCATACAAATAAATAAATACATGAATAAATAACTGCATGGCTCATACAAACCATACAAGCAGAGGATGAGAAGGGACTTTGATCAGGTGCACACTGACCTCTTGTGTGCCAAAGTGGACTTCCTTCTCTACCACTGTGTGTAGAAGCAAGGCAAATACTAACATTACCTAAGGCCAAAGCAGATGGCTGCAAACCTGCTCAGCTATTCCTCAGTACTCCAGTGGTGGAATAGCCTAGGTTTGCTAACCAGACAACACGATTCCTGAATATGCTAATCTGATGGAAGCCCCCATTTGGTATTCAGAAGTTTCCTACATAGCTGCTGTTATCTTATCTTTATCAGGCTGCTGAAGGGGCTTGGGCAGTGGAAGAAGTAAGCTTTTACATCTGAAATTCCCACAGGCACAGAGAAAAAAGGCCAAGAAAGAACAGTAAAGTTGGCTGAATCGATTTGACCTGGTGCAATGACCCGGTCAGTCTTCCCAAGCTAAGCCCAGTTGGGCTGAGTCAATCCTTGGATGAGGAACACCAGGGTCTTGCAGGCACTGATGGCGGTGCTCCAGGGCTAGCACTGGAGCTAGAGGCTGCACTCCACTGATATCAGTGGAACAGCTCTGGAGTTACCTTGATATGAGAGAAGGATCTAGCTCAGGGGTGCTCCTTTTCCAGCGGACTGAGAAATGGCAACAGTCACATTACACAGGAGTGCAAAACAGAAAGTGAAAGATAATGCCACATCCGACTGGAAATGCAGTTCAGCTTTGCAGAATGTAGACACCGACTGCAGTTGGGGTGGGGCTGATTCTGACAGACAATGAACTGAGT